TGATGGAGAATGTTTGATCCAGCAGCTGCACGAGCTCTTCTCTGCTGGAGGAGACACTGGCAGAAAAGCAGCCCTGAATAGAGAAGATTTTTTATGCTCCCATCCCCACAATCAGGCTTTGGTGAACCCGCTTCCCCCATCAATCACCCAGTGACGTTTGTGCAGCCTGGCCCCCATCCATAAGGTTTACGTGCGCAGTTCCTGTTACAGCCAGTGAGAGTGAACAGGGAATAGCTACCATGATATTTGCAATATGCCCTGACGGTCTGAGCCTCTGACCCACTCAGCTCCCTTGGTACGGATACTGACTGCATGTCCCCGAGGGAGGGGAGGCCCCAGGAGGGTGGAGCTAGCGTATCTGGCCCCTGAGCCAGCCTCCCCTCCAGTTCCAGCATAGGAGGCAGGGCAGGGACGGACTGTAGGGACCATTATCAGCCATTGAGGTTTAAATCAGCCCCCCCGCCCCAGGCTCCTCCAGCCCCCAACAAGGCTGGTGTAGTATCTGCCAATGAGGTTCCCTGAGGGCCCCATTCCCAGGTGGGGCACAGCAGAGAATGGGGGCCAAAGCTGGTTAATTACATTTCAGCCTGAAATTTACCAACCGTTTCAAACCTGGATAAATGCTCTAGTCGGCTTCTGAGCAACTGGGGGATGGAAACAAAGCAATAGGATGAGACATCTAGATTGACCACGGGAAAATACTCACTCGGGTCTGACAAGCATCTAAGCCGTTTGTACGCAGCCGTCCATTTAGTGGGGTCCTTAGGCTTCTGGAGGGTTCCAGGGACATGGTAGAACAGTCCCACCCCCGCTCCAATAGCCTCTGTGTTACTGAGGAGGATGAAAGTCTCAGGGAAGGAGAACATCAAACCAGAACAGAGGGAAACAATCCCATAGTTGGGACCGTAGAATCATAGACTATCAGGGTTGGGAGGGACCTCAAGAGATCAACTAGTCCAACCCCCTGCTCAAAGCAGGACCAATCCCAAACTAAATCATCCCAGCCAGGGCTTTGTCAAGCCTGACCTTAAAAACCTCTAAGAAAGGAGATTCCAGCACCTCCCTAGGTAACCCATTCCAGTGCTTCACCACCCTCCTAGTGAAACAGTTTTTCCTCATATCCAACCTAAACCTCCCCCACTGCAATTTGAGACCATTACTCCTTGTTCTGTCATCTGGTACCACTGAGAACAGTCTAGATCCATCCTCTTTGGAACCCCCTTTCAGGTAGTTGAAAGCAGCTATCAAATTCCCCCTGATTCTTCTCTTCTGCAAACTAAACAATCCCAGTTCCCTCAGCCTCTCCTCATAAGTCATGTGCTCCAGACCCCAACCATTTTTGTTGCCCTCCGCTGGATTGTTTTCAATTTTCCCACATCCTTCTTGTACTGTGGGGCCCAAAACTGGACACAGTACTCCAGATGAGGCCTCACCAATGCCGAATAGAGGGGAATGATCACGTCCCTCGATCTGCTGGCAATGCCCCTACTTATACATCCCAAAATGCCATTAGCCTTCCTGGAAACAAGAGCACTCTCACACTGAGGATACCTCTCCAGGGGAGGGAACTCCAGTTATTGATAAGAGACAGGTAATAGTAAGGGGGATTCAATCATTAGAAACAGAGATAGCTGGGTTTGTGATGACTGGGAGAACCTTGTGGTGACTTGCTTGTCTGGTGCGAAGGTTGCGGATCTCTCAAGACAGCTAGACAGACATATATGTAGTGCTGGAGAGGAGCTGGTGGTCTTGATACATGTAGGTACCAGTGAGATAGGGAAGGATGGGAGGTCAAATTTAGGCTGCTAGGTTAGAGATCGAAATCTAGGACCTCCATGGTAGCAGTTTTTGAAATGCTTCCAGTTCCAGGCGAATGGCCAGTTAGACAGGCAGAACTGCAGGGTCTCAATGCATTGATGAGATGATGGTGTAGGGAGGAGAGGGGTAAATTTATTCGGAACTGGGGAACCTTTTGGGAAAGGGGGAGTCTACAGGAAGGATGGGCTCCACCTTATCCAAAATGGAACCAGATTGCTGGCACTTAAAATTAGAGAGGTCATAGAGCAGTTTTTAAACTAAGGGCTGATGGAAAGGCGACATGTGAGGATGGAAGATGATAAAATACAGATAGAATCTGATGAGAAACAGTCAAATGAAAATGATCCCATTCAATTACATCCTGTAATGGCAGAGAGGTAAAAAGTGACAAGTTTTTACAGTGCTCATATACCAATGCTAGACGTCTAAATAATAACATAGGTGAACTAGAGTGTGTTGTATTAAATGAGGCTATGGATATAATAGGCATCATAGAAACTTGGTGGAATGAGGATAATCCATGGGACACAGTAATACCAGGGTACAAAATATATCGGAAGGACAGAACAGATCATGCTGGTGGGGGAGTGGCACTAGAAAGCACTGAGTCAAACGAAGTAAAAATCTTAAATGAACCAAACTGTATGATGGAATCTCTATGGATAGTAATTCCATGCTCGAATAATAATAATAATCTAGCAGTAGGGATATACTACTGACCACCTGACCAGGATGGTTATACGGACTGTGAAATGCTCATTGAGGTTAGAGAGGCTATAGCAATAAAAAACTCAATAATAATGGGGGATTTCAACTAGCCCATTATTGACTGGGTACATGTCACCTACGGCGGGAGCCAGAGATAAAGTTTCTTGACACCTTAAATGACTGTTTCTTGGAGCAGCTAGTCCTGGAACCCACAAGAGGAGAAGCAATTCTTGATTTAGTCCTAAGTGGAGCACAGGATCTGGTCCAAGAGATGAATATAGATGAACTGCTGGTAATAGTGACTGTAATATAATTACATTTACCATCCCTGGGTGGGGGGAACGCTACAGCAGACCACCACGGGAACATTTAATTTCAGAAAGGAGAACTACACAAAAATGAGGAAGTTAGTTAAGGAGAAATTAAAAGGTACAGTGCCGAAAGTGAAATCTCTGCAAGCTGCATGGAAACTTTTTAAAGACACCTTAATAGAGACTCAATTTAAACACATACCCCAAATTAAAAAAACATAGTAAAAGAACCAGCTTCAGGGGCTGGAGGCTAGAGTAGGGCTCCTTGGTCTCCAGGCTCTGTGCCCAGTAGGGCTGATGGGCCATGTTCATGGCCATGCTGGCAGCAATCTCCGGCTCCCACTGCACCGGGATCACCTTGACCAGGAGTGGGGTGGGTCAGAGATGGGAGGTGACTGTTCTCTACTCAGTGTGGGAGAACCGTGTCCAGGTTTGGGTGCTGCGCTTCAGGAAGGATGAGGACAAATTGTAGAAAGTCCAGAGGAGAGCAACAGAAATGATCAGAGGTTTAGAAAACATGACCTGTGAGGAAAGGTTGAAAGAATTGGGCATGTTTTGTGCAGAGAAGAGATGGGTGATGGGGGACATGATAACAATCTGCAACTATGCAAAAGGTTGTTATAAAGAGGAGTGTGATCAATTGGTGCCCATGTCCACCAAGGGTAGGACAAGAAGAAATTGGCTTAGTTAGCAGCAAGGAAGATTTATATTAGATATTGGGATAAACTTTCTAACTCTAAGGATGGTTTAGCACAGAAACAGGTTACTACGGAGGCTGTGGTATCCCTGTTATTGGTGGATTGTAAGAACAGGTTGGACAAACACCTGCCAGGGATGATCTAGGTGCACTTGGTCCTGCCTCATTGCAGGGGGACGGATTGTTTGACCTCCTGCGGTCCCTTCAACTCCCC